TTTCTTTCTTTCTTTCTTTCTTTCTTTCTTTCTTTCTTTCTTTCTTTCTTCCTTCCTTCCTTCCTTCCTTCCTTCCTTCCTTCCTTCCTTCCTTCCTTCTCTATGATAATCTGCTACTTTTGTATGCAATGTTGAACCTTAGGAACAGCATCACAAAACTTAAAGAACTGCAATCCACATATTAATCCAGGAGATTGGTTTCAAAATGTGGAGTAAATAGTTTACCTATCTGCACCCATAACAGCTACTATAATGAAGTGTCTTTTTCATCCACCCTAGATTTACGGAAGACTTTTGAACAGGAACCCTTAGGAAAGGAAGTATCTTTGGAACAAGAAGTCCTCCTCCAGTGTCGCCCACCTGAAGGAATCCCAGTGGCTGAGGTAAATGACAGCAGTCTTTGGGGGGTGGGGGTGGGGAACTGACACAGTTATCCTGAGACCTAATCTGTGGCTAATGGTGCAGTGAATTAGGTGATGGCATGATAAATGGGAGGTAATGGACATCTAACTGCCTGCTGTTGGTAGAATAGATTGATTGGGAACTGATTAATGACTTCGGAGTCAATTAGAATGCCCCACTAGGCAGAGTTACAATGGGATGTTCCTTTGACTCGTATGCTTCCTCTGTGTGAAACAAGACCGCAGCAAACGTCGGTTTCTAAGACAAGCACTGAGTAGAATTTATGAATATATGTAACTCTTTCTTCCCCACCTGGCCATGCCCATATTCTAACACTGAGATAACCAGCTTTTCTATATATTATTAAAGCATTTTAATGCTGCATTTTCTTTTACTGCTATGGTTATATATATGGTGACTCATTTAGACTGCTTCACTATAAGTATGCACCTGCTGTAGTCTGATAAGGATCTGGAACAAAGGAAAACTATCGTCCATCTTTTCATGTTCCTTTACTTAACAGCAATTAAAAACACATGAAATAAGTATTTTGATATCTATCTTGTGGAAGTGATCCTACTGAGAAAAGAAAAAGCTATAAATGTTCTGAGTAGGGAGCCCATCTGTTAAGAAAAGCCTACCCTCCAAGCTTAGAGGTCATCCTGCTTTTAAAAATGCTTGTGGACTTTTTTTTTAATTAGACTTAAATGCTTCTGTTTTTTCAACTTGTTGATAGAAGTATATAATGCTTGTTTCACACCGAATAAATCAAGGCTTTATAATGCAGTCACAGTAAGCCCTTTCATTTGGTTGGAACTATTTGGTGGCATGCTACCCCAAATGATTTTTGAAACATTTACTTTAAGGCAAAGTATAGAAAAAGCACCCTAAAAGCACATTTACATATAAAGATGTGAATATATTTATTGCATATTATATAATTATAATTTCCAAAGTTCAGTCAATCTAGTTCCAAAGAAAGATACAAATTGTTTGGATATACCAAATTCATAATAGAAATGAAGCCAAATTTAAAAAGTCAGCCAAACTGGGAGATTGCCTTGTTCACTATAGTGTATATTTCCCCTTTCTTTTCCTAAACCACTTTTTGGCTTTTCCTCTTATTGGCTATGATAACCTTTGGAGCACCAGTTAGGTTGGATTTGGGAAGCATAGTTCTGTAACCTATCTTGTCTTTCCTAAAAGTTGGGAATGCTTTGTGGCTTCATGGCTTTCTAGTTGCTCTTTAAGTATCTACAGGAAAGTATATAGGGAAAGTTATGCATTTGGAAAGTGATATTAGCATTACACCACTAGGGGTACAAGAAATAGGGGGGGTAGCAGTCCACTAACCATCCTTTGAGGCCCTCAGACTGGTAACTTTGAAGATGCTTGAGGCTTCCATTGGATTTCCTGAAGTTCTTCCCAAAGTGAAGAATTCACCTTAAGAGTGTGACCCTTGATATGCTGTGGACTTCTGACCAATTGATTTTTTAAAACTATTTATTTGTTTTATATTTGATTTATGTACCACCTTTCTTCTAGGAGAGAGAGATATCAAGAGAATAAGGATCTCCCATCATTTTACCCCATAACAACCCCTGTGAATTTCTGTGGCTAAAGGTGGACTTGAACCTAGCTCTCCCTCCCTGATTTAAACAGATGTTGCTCAACTGTATAAAACTATATGCATGTTCTCTTACCTATGTAGCAGCGACTTGGAAAAAAGGATTATAACAATACTGAGTTGAGATCAGTGGCAGTTGAAGTGATTGACTTCAGGTGGATTGCATTTATGTACATTCAGCCACACTGTTATTACAATAATAGCACAAAGGAAGGTGCATCGTTAGAAACTAGACACCGGTCTCAAAATTCTCCCATCATAATGTATTTTCAGAAAGGTAGAAGGCATTTTTACAGCTTAGTAATAGATCACTGATTATGCTTAATCCACCCCTCATATTTGACTACCAAGTGCAAAAGGCCTTCCAGATAAGCAAATCACATTATAATGTCATTGTTTTGGTAACAACATGCTTGTCATTTTCTTTGATGACTGATTTCTCAGGGATCCTATAAGGTAGCTGAGCCATTCTGTACAAGCATAGCTCAAAGCATATCATGATTTCTTAAAACAGTAGTAGATAAATATAATTACATGGTTAATGTATTTTATTCCTTTTCAATTTTTATTTTCTAGGCTGGGTGCAAAGAGATTAATAAGTTAATGCAGAGCTAGGTTGGAAGCCAGCATAGTGATAACAGTAGAATTAATCAACTGTTATTCTCAAGAAGAACTTATCAGTCTCTTTGCTTCTGAATTGCATACCAACCAGCTGTTGCATAGTGACAAGAATATTTATAATGGGGCACGTCATATCGCAGATGCATGATGGTATTTAGGGACTTCATTACCTTTGCTAGAAGCTGAGATTATTCATGACTGGCAGATTGTCTGGGTGCAGTATTATGCACATGACATAGATCGTCCCTCCCAGTGTTTTAATAGTTCTGTCCCAAAAGCAGAAATGATTGTATGCCAGGCAGGAGAAAAAGCATGATTAATAGAAAAGAAGTTCTCAGTTTTTTGTGTGTGATATTCATCCAGTTACAAAACATTAGCTACTTGACAGGAAAAAAAAGTAATTAAAAGCAAATGGTTTAAATTATTCTAAAAGATCACAAAAGAAAAATGACACTATAAATTCAGAAAGTTAAAAAAAATCTTTGCAAATGCTGTTCTCGTCTAATCAAACAGTTTGAGAGTTGCATACATAGGCAGGAAAAGACATTATGATTTAACAATACGTTACGCTGTTGATATTTCTTGCTGTGCTTTTCTCAGTAGACCTAAACACATTTTATTGTAATATAAAACACTTTTATTTTCCAGTAGAAAGAGTCTTCTTTGTTTTTTACCATACTGGGCAACATGTATGAGAAAAACTAACACAAGTATATGCAAAATATTTAGAAATATGTTTATATCATGCTTTCTTAAATCTAACCCTTATAACAATTGCCCAACATTTATACAGTGACTGGGTTCCCCCTTGCATTGAACCATGGTTTGCTTAACCATGGTTTACAAAATGGGTGAAGTCAGACAACATAGAGAGCCATAAACATGACAAGCTACAGATGAACTAAACAAGTTATTGCTTAGATTAATTTTACTTACTCCAAGTAGTATTTTGTTTCTATGTATAGAGACACTATATATGTGTACATAGACAGTACATTAGAAGTTATTAAATGCTAATCACTTTGCCTCATCTCTTTACACAAATAAACTTTCAACATATTTACCCATTAGTAAATATTCTTTATGTCTTAGCTAAAAATGTTTACAGCAAAAGTGAGATGTTTGCTGACTTGAACGGTTTTCAGTACTGTTGATACATATGCTTTCAATAATTGCTTTCTAATTGTTAGTACAAAAACAATGGAGAGAAATAATTGTATGGTTTTATCTTTCATTTCACTGTTTTAAAAATACTGTATTTCATTAACTTGAAGATACTAAAATATTAGAACATACAAAGTCCTTAAATTGTACTCTTTTCCCCCCTTTTTTGGATCAGCATCAAATTTTCTATAAATAGTCCAGGATAAATACGGCAGGCCAGGATTTGGGATTTCTTCATTATGAAAAATAATTGAAGAAATATTAATTTAGAAGCCCTTAATCATTGGATCCAGCCATCCATTCCAGAAACGTTTGAGATGCTGTTACAAAGAGCAGGACCTTTGAGTAATATGCACTGTTTCTGTCACTGCTTAGCAGTTTAAGGCTGGTTTCTAGGTCTACCTCTAGGGTTAAATGGCAAAGCTTTGGAATTCATTCCTTGTGTGGAAGTCTGAAATCTCCTCTCTTTCTCCCTAAGTCATTTCTCCATTAATAACTTGTAGTATCTTCTAGAATTTATTTATATATTTGAATTTATTAGCTGCCCAACTTCAGTGGACTCTGGGCAGCAAATCTTTCAACTAACAGTCAATAGGTCAAGCTTTGTATTATTTCAACAAGGGGTGGGTGATGCTGTGAAGGAATTTTACATCACTAAATAAGGAAAAACACACACACACTACCTGAGCTTCTAGAGTGATCATTCCCTTGGTATACTAAGATCCCTAGATAGCAGCAAAGACATTCAGAAATGCTTATATGTTGCTGCTATCCAAAAAGCAAATTTTTGCAGTCCAGATTTGGTATGCCTATCATCCACAAGTTGGCCTGTTAGTAAGTGTTGTTCTTTGAAGACTGCAACATAATAATTCACTTTGTCAAGCAGAAAAGATTGATGACTGCAAGCTAATTGGCTGTGAAACCTATTTGTACTGCAGTCGGGGCAGACACCAATTAACACTTGGCAGGTCCAGGAGTCATATCCATAGAGCTGTTTAATGTCTTCCACTCTGCACAACTCCCAATTGCCTTTTTACTTATTTATTTATTTATTTATCTTAAAATCAGGAGGGAGATCAAACATCCAAGAGAGGAGATTAGCCTAAGAGAGCTTCTGTATAGATTCCTTCCAACATTGTTAGAAGAACAAAGAACAGAACATTAATGAGTATGAATAACTTACTTTCGCATTTTATTGCTGTCACTACCTGTAACTAACAAGATATAAAATATTGGGGGAGGGGAGGCAGACCAATGAAAGGTAACTTAATTGGTTGAAGGATTACATTATTATTTTAGTTTGATGATGAATATGTTCGTTGTTTAAGATTCCATGCGTTTGAAAGGTATTATAATTACCAGGCTGAGAAACAACTATTAAAAGTCAGAAAGTTAGCTGCAACCCCGTTTTCCAAGTAAAGCTACATAATACAATAACACAAAGAAGCTTGATTAAGAGTGCTTGTAATTGCTCTGTTTAAAAGAAAGACAAGCCATATCCAGCCTTTTAAAAAGTGTTTTTTTAAGTACATAAATGTGTATTTTCATTTAAAATCTCTATGTGAAAAT